ATGACCTGCATGACCTGCATGAGCTCATGCAGGTCATGCAGGTCATGGTGACGATGAGCTCATGCAGGTCATGGTGACGAGGCGTGGGCCACCATGAGACTGGGAGCAAACACACCACGGCTCCACAGTGTTCATTTAAAAACACTACGTTGCTGTTACTGAAAAATGACAACAACTGTTCCTCCTGCAGCCTAATTAATCTCAAATATTGCCTCATAATGATTCTGTTAATGATATTGTGGTGTATTGTTATATTTATTTCAGGTCATTTTCATTAGAATTTACAGATTTAATTAGAGGCTGACTTACGGCTCAAAGCAACAGGTCCAGTGATGACGGGGCCGACTTATAAAACATGAACAAAATGTTTGAAGACATTTGGTGAATGAATGTTATGTGGACGGAGCTTTGTGCTTTTGACACGGTGGGTACCTTCACACCAGGTATCAGTCCATGTCTATGAGTAATTAAAAACTCCAGGTGAAGTGTGTGTGTGTACTCTGGCATGCTCCTACTAGTCGTCTCATTTGAGATGGATGCAACTGGAAGGAATAAAAAGATGGAGGTTTTATTATCACTTAAAAAGAAGGAAGCACTCAAAAGCTTTTAGTAGCAGTATATAATACACCTGATACTTACCAGGTGTGTACCTGATACTTACCAGGTGTGTACCTGATACTTACCAGGTGTGTACCTGATACTTGCCAGGTGTGTACCTGATACTTACCAGGTGTGTACCTGATACTTACCAGGTGTGTACCTGATACTTACCAGGTGTGTACCTGATGTGTACTGTGTGCATTATGAGAAATGTACCTGGTACTTACAGAGCAAGCACCGGTACTCAGCATCTACCATAGACATGTAATAAAATACTAGACTCCACACAGGGATGTGTGAGTTGAAGCCAGAGCTGTTCCAGGAGGAGTTTTAACTCCTCGTAAACTCTTGGTCAAGTCCAACGTGAGAATGTTTGTGTGGCACCGACTCTTGATTGACACATCTGTTGCTGCTGAAATTCATTTCCCTGAAGTTGAGTTGTAATTAGTTATTTTATTAACAGGAAGTTCCCCATGATGGTGTGCTGATGAGTAGGCAGGACTTCAGCCCCACATCCTGTGTGCGGAGACTCTGGTCCCAAAAATACAACATGGAGCTCCTGTGAACTGGGCCCAGCTGGTTTCAGTTTTGTGAACTGGGTCCAGCTGGTTTCAGTTTCCAACTATCACACAAAGTATGGGGGCACTTAGTGGAGTACTTTAATGCATGTGTATGGTATCTACCATGTATGTGTCTGCTAAATACCACATATGTATCAGGTACATACCCTGTTAGTACCAGGTATGTACCCACCACACACCCTTTAAGTATTGTGAATGTACCCTGAAAGTACCAGGTACATGTTCTGTAAGTACCAGATATGTACCCAGTACATACATTATAAGTTCTGAGTATGTACCCCATGTTCCCCATAAATACCTTGTGTACTTCTACCCAGTCCTCTGCTGACAGAGACTTCCAGCACAGTTCATTTTGGATGAAGTACTGTAGTACTCCGTACAACAACAAGTTGAAGATGCTCTCTTTAATCAACAACCCACTGTCTGCTCTGATTCATCACTTTTAAAAGGCTTCGTCCAAAGTGAGCCGCTGCACTATTTGGTATTTACTAAAACCAGCGTGCTCCTTCTCTTCATCCTTCCTGTTGATGATGATGATGAGGGGCTGGGTGTGGCTGCAGAGTGCAGCAGCTGGACTGCTCCTGCTCTGTGTGCACAACTCAGTAAACTGTCGGCATGCAGAACGAGGACCAGCAGCACGTAGCCAGTGTGCGTGTGCATGTGTGTGTTCTCAGTCTCTGTCAGCGAGGAACAGACTTGCAGCACGTGTTTGGACTCAAACTGAAGACGACAGCTCAATGGGCCTGACTCTCCTTGAAGGAGGACTTGAATAATTGTTTCCAAGAACAAGACACGTGGTCCTGGACCTGTCTCTGAGCACCTTAACTGATCCAGAACCCCCACCCCTCCACATGCAAGCGTGCTTTTTCTAAATGTTTGCTACAGACACCGCTGCAGGTCAGAGTGGAGCGCGCCCTCACCCACACACGCTCACAGCTGTGATGCTGACAGTCATCAGATCACCTCTGCCTCTGGATCCAGATGTTCTGCAGCTCTGAACAGGAACCCATGGAACCCTGGAACCTGAGTCTCATTCAGACCACAATGTCGGGCTGAGTTTTTGACACATTTTTTAAGCTACGTTGTTAGAAGACAAACTTGTTTCTTACTGGGAGACCTCCCCATGTAGTCGCTTTGACTGTCGTGCTAACCAGTGGTTCCTGATGTTCTAGGGTAGGCCTGTGCTGTAACATGGGACTGTGAAAAAATGTGGATTGTTAAGTTTTATTAAACAAAAAGAAAACACTTGAGCACTTTGATGTCAGCGTTGGATCTGTACGTTTCTGTTCTGTTGGTATAGTTGAACTTTTTGACAGAATACTCATTCTACAGTATGTACAGGACACGGTTACTACGTACTCAGTGTGTGCTACACAAGCTTCTATATACAAAGTACATGATGATTGTACATGATGATTATACATGATGATTATACATGATAATTATACATGATGATTATACATGATAATTATACATGATAATTATACATGATAATTATACATGATAATTATACATGATAATTATACATGATAATTATACATGATGATTATACATGAT